GAAGGAATCTTTGGCCGCAAGCAGAGCAAGGACATCTTCCACTAGTACATCATCCTTTGGTTCAAATCAGTGGGGGAGTACTCCTAAGAAGCAGACGGCTCCAAGTTCTAGTCAACCTAAACAGTTGCTTAAACCGGCCGAGGTTACCAAGTCATTGGAGAAGACACCTAGTGTCAAACCGGGTTCATCTGCCAATGTACAGTGCTTCAAGTGTAAAGGAAGAGGACATTATGTATCTGATGGTCCCAATAAGAAGGTAATGGTACTTCGAGATGATTGGTACTATGAAAGTGAAGAAGAAGATGTGCACGATCAATCTAATATGGTTTTAGCAACAACCAAGCAAGCTACAACTAGTCAAATGTATGATAAGGGAGCTTCTGAGAGTGAAGATGAGGTTGTCTATGAGGAAGACGTATCTCGAGCTATGGTACTAGCTCATGCTCTTAGTATCCAGCCCGCTCAAGACAAGAATCTCGAGTAACGCACTAATATTTTCCATACAAGGTTTAAGGTGAATAATAAGACGTGTCTTGTGATTGTGGATGGAGGAAGTTGCACAAACTGTGTGAGCATGGAACTTGGCAAGAAATTGAACCTTCCTACGTTCAAGCATCCTCAGCCTTACAAGTTGCAATGGTTAGATGATCGTGGAGAAATTAAGGTACGGTCGCAAGCTCGCTTACTCTTATGTTTTAAAACGTTCCAGGATGAAGTTCTTTGTGATGTGGTTCCAATGCAAGCATGTCATATATTGTTGGGACGTCCATGGGTGTTTGATCGAGGTGCAAACAAAGATGGAAAGACAAATCAGTATTCACTTGTGCATAAGGGTTTGTCTATTGTATTGTGTCCGTTATCCCCTATGGATATCATAGAATCTCAGAAAAAAATGCAAAGAGAGAGAGAGAGAAAGACATGAAAGTGAGTCGAAAGAGTCAAAAGAGAGTTTGGGGAATGAGAGAGAATCAAAAGTGAGTGAGAGTTTGAGAGAAAGCCAAAAGCTAGGGAGAAAAAAGGCAGCTTTTATGCTTCTATGGGAGACCTTGGGAGGGCTCTAAATACTCGCACTCCACTTGTTTTAATTGTTTACAAGGATTTATGTTTAACTAACACTAACCCCATTGAAAATATTCCTAGTGTTGTTAAAACTGTTTTGCAGGATTATGAGGATGTTTTTCCAGAAGAATTACCAAAGGGACTTCCACCTTTGAGGGGAATTGAGCATCAAATTGATTTTATCCCAGGATTAGTAATTCCTAATCGTCCTGCATACAAGGCAAACCCCGAGGAGACCAAGGAACTGCAATGTCAAGTCGAGGAACTCCTTGACAAAGGTATGGTTCGTGAATCTTTAAGTCCTTGTGCAGTGCCTGTCATTTTAGTTCCTAAGAAAGATGGAACATGGCGTATGTGTGTAGATTGTCGTGCTGTGAATAAAATTATTATTAAATATAGACATCCCATACCTAGGCTAGATGACATGTTAGAAGATCTATGTAGCTCTTGCATATTCTCTAAAATAGATCTTGCTAGTGGCTATCATCAAATTCGCATGAAAGAGGGTGATGAATGGAAAACCGCTTTTAAAACTAAATTTGGTTTATATGAGTGGATGGTTATGTCTTTTGGTTTGACTAACACTCCTTCTACTTTTATGCGTCTTATGAACCATGTGCTTAGACCTTATATAGGTAAATTTGTTGTGGTTTATTTTGGTGATATCTTAGTGTATAGTAGAGATGAAGTTTCGCATGCTAAACATCTTTCGAGTGTGCTCTCTACTTTACGTGAAAATAAACTTCATGCTAAACTTGCTAAGTGTACTTGCTGTGTATCAGAAGTTATTTTTCTTGGTTTTGTTGTTAGCAAGGATGGTGTTAAAGTTGACAAGGCTAAGGTTAAGGCAATTCGAGAATGGCCTACACCTAAGTCTGTCTCTGACATTCGTTCCTTCCATGGTTTAGCTAGTTTTTATCGAAGGTTTGTAAAGGATTTCTCTACTAAGGCTGCACCCTTAAATCACTTAGTAAAGAAGAATGTTAGGTTTGAATGGGGTGAAGAACAAGAACTTGTATTTAACACTTTAAAGAATGATTTAACTTGTGCTCCTGTACTTGCATTACCTAATTTTGATCTTACTTTTGAAATTGAGTGTGATGCATCTGGGGTTGGAATTGGTGCAGTGTTAATGCAAACTGGTAAGCCTATCACGTACTTTTCAGAAAGATTAAGTGGTGCAACATTGAATTATCCTACTTACGATAAAGAATTGTATGCTGTAATTACGGCTTTAGAAAATTGGCAACATTATTTAATGCCAAAAGAGTTTGTTATCCATAGTGATCATGAGTCTTTGAAATATTTGCATGGACAAAACAAACTGAATAAGAGACATGCTAAATGGAGTGCATTTCTTGAATCTTTTCCTTATGTCATTAAGTACAAGAAGGGAAAAGAGAATGTGATAGCTGATGCATTGTCTCGTAGATCGTATGTACTTTCTGTGCTTGATTCTAAGTTATTAGGGATTGAATACATCAAGGATTTGTATGCTACTGATTCTGATTTTTGATCCATTTTTGAAACATGTGAAAGTGGCGCATTTAACAAGTTTTATAGGCGCGAGGGTTTCTTGTTTAAAGATAATAAATTATGTGTACCTGCTTGTTCTCTGCGTGAACTATTAGTGCGTGAATCTCATAGTGGTGGTCTTGTGGGTCATTTTGGTATTTTGAAAACTAATGATGTTTTATGTGAACATTTTTATTGGCCTAATATGAAACGTGACGTAGAAAAAGTTTGTTCTACTTGTATTGAGTGCAAACAAGCAAAGTCTAAGTCACAACCACATGGGTTATATACGCCTTTACCTGTACCTACGCACCCTTGGACTGATATTTCAATGGACTTTGTTTTGGGATCACCTAAATCTCAAAAAGGGTGTGATTCAATTTTTGTGGTAGTTGATAGGTTTTCTAAGATGACACATTTTATTCCTTGTCATAAATTTGATGATGCCAAGCATGTAGCTGATTTATTTATGCATGAAATTGTTAGATTGCATGGTTTACCTAGAACTATTGTGTCTGAGAGATGTTAGATTTTTGAGCTACTTTTGGAAAACTTTGTGGGGAAAACTAGGTACAAAACTGTTGTTTTCAACAACTGCTCATCCTCAAACGGATGGCCAGACGGAGGTGGTTAATCGGACTCTTGGTTTTTTGCTTCGTGTTTTGATCCAAAAGAATCGTAAGAATTGGGAAGCTTGTTTGCCTATTGCTGAATTTGCAGATAATCGTGTTGTGCATTCTGCTACCCAATATTCTCCGTTTCAAATTGTTTATGGATTTAACCCCTTAACCCCTTTAGACTTGTCTCCATTGCCTGTTTCTGAGTATCTTAATGCAGATGGAGCCAAGAAAGCTGAGTATGTACGTTCTCTTCATGAGAAAGTACACATGAATATTGTGAAGAGAAATGAGCATGTTGCGCGAATTGCCAACAAGGGGCGTAAGGAAATGATATTCAAACCCGGTGATTGGGTTTGGGTTCATTTAAGGAAAATTCGATTTCCTACAAAGGTCAAATCGAAGTTAGATCCTCGTGGAGCTGGTCCTTTCCAAGTTGTCAAGCGTTTGAACAACAATGCTTATCAATTTGACCTTCCTGGTGAGTATAATGTTAGTGCGACTTTTAATGTTTCTGATTTATCTCCATTTGATTTCTCAGATGCTGAAGCTGTACAAACTTTGGATTCGAGGACGAATCCTTTCGAGGAAGGAGGGAATGATGTGAACATCCACGGTAATCAAGTCCAAGATGATCAAGGTGTTCGGGTTCCAGGTACTGTCCAAGCTCAAGGAGTGGCTCAAGATCCATTATCCAACATTAGAGGTCCAATATCTCAAGCTAGAAGTAAAAGGATGAAGAGTGTACTTAATAATCAAATATCCAATGGTTTAGCCCAAGAGAATGTCAAGTCTGGAAGTTACAAGCCCAAAATTATTAATGTGTTACGAGGCCCATTTAAAGAAGGAAATTTCGACCCACAAACCAAGCAAGGGAGGCCAATCCTATCTCCTAATTTTTAGGAGTTGGAATCTCTATCTTTTAGGGATAAAATCATTTAAATCTTATCACACTTGTGAAAGGATAAGATTTAGAAGATTCCCTATCTTTTATCTTATCACATGGAAGGATAAGATTTGATATGATTCTCTTTTATCTAATTTAGAGTTTATTCAAAATAAGAAGTCTATTCCTTGGTGTCTACTCTCAACCGTTGGATGGAGATTAGATCAAGATTGGATGACTATGATTACTCTACAAAGAAGATATTGATAGAGTTCACAACTCAGGAAGATTCTTTTCAAGATAAGGATAAGATTCTTTTGAGAGAATATCTCTTTGTATTTGGAGTTTTATTTTCAATAGACTAGTGTGTCTTAAGTCTATAAAAGTGTCTAGATACATTGCCTTAATAGATAAGACACAAGTTGTCAATTAGAGGTTAAGTTGATTTCTAGTTCTTTAAAGTAGGAATAGAGTTAGAGATCAAACTCTTCTCCTACTTCATAGGAGAATTTCGGCCCCCTCTACTATAAATAGGGGTGCTTGGCCAACCTTTTATTTGTACCTTGGATGAATTATTTCAATATGAGACGAGAGAAAACTCTTTGTTCTTTTTCTACTCTTTTCGAAGATTAGTGCATTGCACACAAGCTTGTGCTTTGTTGATGCATGCGAGTAGAATAGGTGTTTTTCTACTTGTGGAGCTTTGTTAGTTGTTCATTGGAGCCTTTTCGCTAGCCGTACTATCCATAAATCGAAGGGATATGGTTGTTAGAGAGGTGACCGATTGGGTTGCTAACCTTAAACACTTTCTACATCTTCTAAACTTTTCATCCCTTTTTGGTGCAAATTTTTGTGGTTTGCATCTCTTCTTTTCTTTTATTTTTCGTGAGTATTGGAGTCCATAATATTGGATTTGCAAGTTTTCAAGTTCTGGGAAATTCATAGCTTCCGCGTCGAGGTAAATCTGCTACCTTTGCCTCAAAATTCATATCAGCAGTCCTTAAGTCCATGTTGAAGCAGATTAGACTTGCAGCGTCTACCCCTCTTTTGCCTAATAGATCATTCACCTTATCCATCTTAAACTTTACCTCATCATTCTCGGACTTGAGTTTCTGCACTGTACCATTTAGCTTGCAGACAAGATGCACCAATTGATCTAGCTTGAGCTGTTTGGTTGAATTTTTGGATTCAGTGATTCTCCTAACCTCATCCATCACATCATCACAGTCCTTATTCCCCTAAATGTTAATCAAAGGTAAATTAGGAACTAAGAAGAAAATGTTAACCAACTACCTGATTTGTTGAGGGAACAAAAAAAAACTACACAAATGATTCTCAATCATTAATAACAAACTCCCAAATACCAGGCAACAAGCTATGAAATGCAGGAAAAGTGGAAGCTCACGTTTGCAAAAAGAGAAGGAACATCCACAACTTCTATATTCTTCTCATTGGCGACTGAAATCCGATTCCCCTGATTGACATCGCAAACTACAAAAATAAAAAAATAAAATTGTAAACGAGAAAGAACAACCTAAACAAGAAGCCGCAGAATCCAAAAAATGATGAAAGACGTGATATTGACGGTCATACTCACACACAAAAGGGGAGCGATTGGCCATCACCTTCTTCTTAATCTTCTAGTCCGTAATTGAGATCCGATTACCCTAAATTAACAGGGCAAAAAAGGAAAAACAAAAATTGAATCAAATAAGATAACAGCCACAAGAAGGCAAAAGCTAAAAAATTCAATTAACTCACTGTCTCACGAGAACGGAATCGAACAGGCACAATTTTCTTCTTCTCTATAGCAATTGAAGGCTGATTCCCCTGAATTGACATCATAAGCCAAACAAAAAACATAAACCTGTAACTGAATAGGAAAACATCCAAAATAAGAAGCATTAAAACAATAAAGTGAAGGAGGAAAAAGATGCTAATCACTGTCACAATCGAGGAAGGGGAAGGAACAGTAGCAAACGTCTTCTTCCTCTCATAAGAAAATTCGAGAGTATAATTCACCTAAATTGACGTCTCAAACAAAAACAGCAAAGAAACGTACTAAGAATTACCGAAGAAACAAAAATCTGTACTAGAACCGACGACAGACGATGGAAAGGAATCTCACTGAAGCCTGAAAGTATGGATCGAGACGCCAGTGCAGAATTCCGAGAGGCGGACCTGAACCACCTGGTGGTCATGGGATGTGCCATGGGAGCGGAAGGAAAATGGCGTGTGGATTGTGTGACTATGTGTGTGAGATATGATCACTGACTGTGTGACTGTGTGACCGTCGAGTAGACCTTTGATCTAGTCATTATTCATCACCATTAACAATTTCCTATGCGAGTAGCAATCAAAAAATTAATGCAGAAGCGAAAAATCCTTGCAAAACTATGTTGGAGAATTCAACATAGTTTATACAGGTTGTCAGGCAGTTCATATATTAGTATTCAACTCCAACACAAACTTTGAATTTCTAAAAATATTTGTATTGAATGAGGAGGAAGAAATTGGCCGGGAAGGAGAAAGTTGCTCGACGAGGAGGAGGAGGAAGAACTTGGCCAGGAAGGAGAAAGTTGTTCCTCGCGAAGAAATTGGGCGTGTAAGAAAACTTAGGGAAAAAGGAGGGGGTTTGGTTTTCTCCAATTTTATTGTTCAACGGTGCCCTTTGGATTGACCATGTGGTTTCGTGGGTCAAACATTTTTGCCAAAAGGTAAATGAAAAAGAATTGCATTTTGCAATGTCAAATTTACTCTCACTTAAGTTGTGACCATCAAACAAAATTAGACCGTTGAGTTAAATCATTCAACCAGTAACCTTATTCAATTAGAGCTCAAATTCTAAATTTAAGAGACTGTTTACTTTATCTTTTAGATATTATATGATAGAGAAAAAGAAATTGAGTTATTCTTATTAATTAACAGGTGAGAATGGTTGGTGGTTCCCATAACATATACCGTATATATCTTATTTTGTTTGACAAAAAAATAAAGGTGAGGGGGGAGGGGGGGGGGGGTGCAACGACAAAGAAGGGACTGTAGAACTCCCCCCTCTCACTTTATTATATAGTAATAGATTGGGTGTATAAAATGTTCTATAATGAATAAAGGATGAGTCATGGAGATTTTTTTTTTTTTAAAAAAAGTGAAATTTCAGGCCATCCACTATAATTTTTTACCTGCAAATTAGTAAGTAGTTGGAAATACAATAACTAGCAGTGCAAGCAGAAAAAATAGCCAATGTCACATAATAGTAGACCTGAATCTAACAATGGCACTATATAACAAAATAAAACATGAAACACATTGGAAAATGATACTAACACACAAAATGAAGAAAAAGAGCACCAAGCACCACTAACTAAATCTTACAATTATAAGCAGCATGTGAAACTTTTTTCACAAACTACCTCTTCTTTTCTAACAATTCATATAACTAATTTTACTTCAATGGATACATTAAAAACAATATAAATTAAAAATAACACATCTTCACAAACTAGCCATCTCACTGAAACACAAAGATTACAGATTAAAATTAGAGCTTCTTACATTGAGTGAGTAAAAACTGAAAGTTCCATTTAAATTATTTTTTTTAAGAGTTAACCACAAAAAAGGTCATCGAACTATTCGCCAATTCCATCACAGGTCATCAAAAAAAATTTATTTGTAAAATAGGTCACCACACTAAGCAAAAAATTTATTAGAGATTATTTTTTTAATTTTCATCGTTAAATAGTAACAAAATCTATTTTTCGAATGATTTTGGGTTTAGGGGCATTTTTGTCATTTTTTATTTTTAAAATTTTATTATTATTTTAAATTAATCTTTTTTCCAATTCTTCTTTTTATACTTCCTAACTTGTATATGTTGGTAGTAAAATTTCTAAATTTCAAAAATTAATTTAACTTTTATATTTTAACTTCTAGATTATAAGTTTTTTTTAAAAAAAATTAGAAAGATGCAGAAGAAAAATTCGAGTTGAAGTAAACATGAAAATTAATATTTTATCATGTTAAAACAAAAAAGAAACTAAATAATTAGCTAAGAAAAGTTGTTTCTTCTAGGTTATTTAATTATTTTCAACTCGATTAAAAAATTTAATTATTAATTTTCTTACTTGCTTCAATTTGAATTTCTCTTCTTTATTTTTTTTTCTTCTTTTTTTTATAATCTAGAAGTTAAGATACAAATGAGAGACTAATTTTTAAATTTAATAATTATTATAGTACCAACATACACTAGTTAGGAAGTAACAAAAAAGAAGAATAATAAAAAAAATTAATTAAAATATTAATATATTTTAAGCAAAATACAGAATTATGAAATTACCCCCGAACCCAAAAGCATGTGAAAAATATCTTTCCGTCACGATTTAACATCCAAAATAGCTTCCAACTAAGAGAAGTTGTTTCACCTAGGTTATTTTCGGCGTTAAATCGTGACAGAAAGATATTTTTCACATGCTGTTGAGTCCAGGGATAATTTCGTCATTTTATATTTTTTATAAAACAATTAATATTTTAATTAATTTTTTTACAATTCTTCTTCTTTTACCTCCTACCTTTTATATGTTGGTAATAGTATAATCATTAAATTTCACAAATTAGTTTTTTGTTTGTATCTTAACTTCTATATTATTAAAATATAAAGAAGAAAAAGAATTAAAGAAGAAAATTAAAATTGAAGTTAACGTAAAAATTAATAATTAAATAATTAAATTGAGTTTAAAATAATCAAATAACCTACAAGAAACAACTTTCCTTGGTTAATTTTTTAGTTTCTATTTTGGTTTAAAATGGTAAACTAGTAATTTTTTTGTTTACTTTAACTCCCATATTTCTTCTTCATTTCTTAAAAATTTTTTTAAAAATTTAATAATTTAGAAGTTAAAATACAAAAGTTAAATTAATTTTTGAAATTTATAAATTATACTACCAACATATACAAGTTAGGAAGTATAAGAATAATAATTGGAAAAAGAATTAAAATTAATTTTTCTTAAAAAATAAATTTTTAAAATTAAAAATTGACAAAAACATCACTGAACCCAAAAGCATGTGAAAAATGAATTTTAATCACTATTTAACTGCTAAAATTAACAGAATAATCTCAGATAAATTTTTTGGTTAGTACGGCAAGCTATTTTACAAATAAATTTGATTGATAACCTGTGATGGAATTACGAAATAGTTGAATGACCTGCTTTTTTTTTTTAATATTGCTACTAATTTAGAAGTCATGAAATTCTAAATCCATAATAATACTAAATATCGCCAATGGTCTTTTTCTTTTCTGCTAATGATATCAATATATTATTATTGTACTAATAGAAATCATCTCATCCAACATTATCGTACATGCTTCTTCATCTTCCTGGGACCAATGAGTATACATAGTCGTGATAACTTGGATCCTTGATTGAAAGGAGACCCGATTGGCCGAAATCGCAAGCCGAGGGACCAAGAAATTCGTAAGCTTGATATAGAGATGCATGGCTACGGAAGCATGGTTGATTGCTGTGTTTGGGTAGAAACAAGGTCCACCCGTTCCTAGTACAGCATCGCAATGTACATTCGGCTGTGCACAAGCATAATCTACGTTCTTGAGAAGGATCTCTCCTGATGAAGGTTTAGCAACACACCAATAATTCTCCTCTCCATTCACCAAATTCCCAACTGAAATGAAGAACATGATAAGAAACAGAACTGAGATTGTAGCTTTAGCCATACATCAATGACCTGTTTTGTGTTTCACTCTTTTTTTAAAAGGTGAATCCGTCTCAAAATTATGCAGCAGCAAAACAAAAATCATACACTGCCATCTGGTCCTCACTAAACATAAACATCAATTAAGAGTGATTGTAGTATCCAAATATCGTCCATTATCCTATTCAAAAACAAGAAAAGCATTTCAAATTGATATCACAAACACAAGACACAACCCGCACATTGCTTATACCCGGGTTGGATCCTCGTGACACTCTTTTCCCTCTCTAGAACCGGAGTTTGGTGAAGAACCAGCAATTTTTACCAGATTTCAACCTCTCCTCCAAACGCGATTTGGTTCTCCTTGGTTGCTGTGACCTTCTTGTCCTTGGCCACGAGAACGTCTGGGGTGACCACGTCCTTGAGATCCACGTCAAGAGTGTAACAGGTCGGCATAATGTGGTTGTAGTTGACGAGCTTGATGAAGCATTTCACCCTGGATTTCGTTGCTTGCTTCTTCTGCGAGTCCTTGCGAATCTCCTTCTTCGGCTACTTGGAGATTTCGACAATAATTCCCATTGCCAGAATCAGATTTTCTTTATGGGCAATGGCCAATCTAATCTTAAACTAGTACTAAGCATCTTTGTTTTAAATCATGCATTCAGATCTGCAAAATGGAAAGGTGAAGAGAGAAGAGAAACCGATGAGCCTGATGACTTAAGAAATTGGCGAAAGTCTAAGACTGATGAGAGAAATTGGTTCGTTTGAGAGGATTAGTATTTTTCAGAGAATTTTTTGGTGGCTGATCCCGGAGAAACGGAGCCTAGCCTGAGGTTTTTTTGAGAGGAACTGGTGAGACTTGATAGTGTTAGGACAAAGAATCCCACATCGCCGTCGTGAAGAATCTGTCACCTGTTTATAAGCGTTAAAGGCCACCTCACTCATTGCCAATTGGTTTTGAGATGGGAGCCCAAGATAATTTTTGACATGGTATCAGAGCGGGTTTTATCCGCAGACCTGTGAGACTTGTGAGCAGGCTTTAACTGGCCTGAGAGTACATCTGGGGTCTGATTTCTTTCCTCGTTTGGGCTTTCTTCTACTTCTACTTATCCATATTGTTAGCTATGGCTTGAATTTCTGAAATGATGGTCGGAATTTGACAACAGACGGTGCCGGAAAGAATTGAATTGGGAGGAGCAGGCTGTAACTGGCCCGACAGTATATCTGGGGTCTGATGGTGCCAGAAAGAATTGAATTGGGAGGGAGAATATTAGACAAAATATTAGAGAAGGGAGAAATCAAGAAATCAACATCATTACCATAACTGTCTATTACAACTGTAATCCAGCTATTTAATAGCTTCAATCATCAGCTAATCTATGTTTTTTACAATTTAACCCTAACTTCCCAGTAATTTACAATATGCCCCAAACTAATCCTGATTTTTACAATTTAGTCCTCAATACATGACAATACCCCTCCCTTAACAGAAACCTTGTCC